TTTTTCTTTAATGTCTACTATACCTTATAACACCTTCTAGCGTAATCCAATCGCACTTATAAGGGGCTAATGGCTAATGGCTTGCTTTCTAGTAGACTTAATATTTATTTATTTATTTTTTGAATTCTTCCTGGCTTTGCATTGTTCTGAAGTACTCAACTCACACAAATTTATGAGAAAAAAATTTTAATTTTGTATTTATTGACGTAGGCATTAATAGGCAGACGAAGCATCACATATTTGGTTTAGGTTAGGTCGAAGTAGTTCTGAGGCTTCAGTTCTCTTGGGTCAGTGAACCGTTCTCCACCCGCTAGTAAAACTCAATATCTCTCTCTCTCTCTCTTCTACGAAATTTTGTTAACGCAAATCTCTAACAACTTTAAGTGGAAGATCTAGTCGGGAGCATAATTAATTGCACTGTATACCTACATACATACGTAGTAAATATATATAAAGCAACATTGGTATTATTATAATATATTTACATTTATTTTGTGTGATTTGTGTTCGGCAAACGCATTTGCTTATTAAAAACAATTTATTCATTCCTTACACACTCTATTTTTCAAAACATATTTATGCAGTTTGTTCATTGTTCTTGTTGTTTGTTTATTCATACACACATAAATATGGCTATGGGAAGTTATTAAATTATGATAAATTTCATTATTTGGCAAATATTGTTGTGCCATGTATAACCAACAGCAATAACAAATGTTAGAATAATAACCGAGCAACAACACCTTTTTGCAATGTTTTTGGACGCTTAGTCTTCGCTTGGTTAGCCACGGAAATTGTTTTACCCCAACTCATAAAGATTGTTGATGGTGTTAATGGTGTGCTGGTGATGATGGCTGTTGGTGGCATTCTTGTGGTTCCTGTGTTCGTTGGTCTAAGGGTGCGAGCTAGTCAATTTTGCTGTTTTATTTAATTTGTTATTATTTTTGTTATCGTCCTTGGGACGACATGTAGCTGCTAAATAATTATTATTATGACTTGAATTTATTGACTGTCGATGAAATGAAGCGACAGTGTTCATATTGCATTTTATGACTGGAAAATATTGTAATGACTGTGGGGTGTGTGGTGAAAGTTGCTTGTATAATAGCAAATTACACACATACACATACATACAAATAGTATGTACATAATTTTAATGTAAGGCTGAAGCTGGTGCAGTTACGTAATGTCATAATGACCTTGAAAATAACGTTCGCCATAATTTATTATTTTATCGTTGGAATATTGCCACTCGCAAATTTACCATTTTGTTAGTGAAATTTCCATTAGTTGATTTAACAAAAAAAGGAACAAAAAATATATATAAAAACGAAACAAAAATGAAAGAAATTATGTTAAGCTGATTGGCAGAATAATCTTGTTTATCGTTTGCATTCAATCTTTCAATTAAATGTTGCCTTTGTATGGTACATAACATATGTATGTAAACAAAATCAATTTGCTGCATAATAAATTATAGCTGGAAAATAATTTCAGCAATTTCAACGGAATATTAACATATGCATATACGTATGTAGTTGGTGGTGCTATAATTGTGTAATTTAGCATGTATTATTATTACGCATTTTGAGTTATGAGTTTTTAAATTACAAGGATTTTAATAAAAAAAAATTTCCGCAGAGCTGTAAGAAGTTTAGTTGAATGAAGTTTTCAGTTTTTGGTTATTAAGATTAGGGATGCAAGATCCGTGATTTTTGTGGAATTCAACGTAATTTGTGTAATTAGCCAGCCGCAGATCAAGAAATCATTTGCTCTGCCGACTTGTAGCCATGAAGGGAAAAATACTAGTTTTTAACTAAAATTTAACCTTCCTTTTTCATCTATTTTACTAATCTATTTTACATGTAAATAACTGGTATTTTTTACCTAACGATGTACTGCGTCAATTATCAATTACCAGTCTATATATCAGCTTCATACTAGTTAAATACCAGTTAATATATATCAGTTAACACACTGGTTTGTTCATACTAGTTGTCAATTTCCAGTCCATATATCAGCTTAATACTAGTTAAATACCAGTTAATATATATCAGTTAACACACAGGTTTGTTCATGTATATATATCATCTTCATACTAGTTAAATACCAGTTAATATATATCAGTTAACGCACTAGTTTGTTCATACCAGTTGTCAATTTCCGGTCTATATATCAGCTTAATACTAGTTAAATACCAGTTCATATATATCTTCATACTAATTGAAAACTAATTCACCTCAGCCTAGGTTGCGTCGAACCCATTAAAAATCAGTTGGGTTGATTTCAGTTCGGGCTTTCACAATTCCATAAACTACTCAGCTATCTTAAGCCAAAAATCAATGGAAAAAATTGCATTTGTATATTGTATTTGTATTTACTTATTTAACTAGAAAAAAAACGGTTGAACCGATGTTTTTTTTATTTTTTTCATGGATTTAAAAAAATCCCCTTTCACGGAAAGTTGATTAGAGATCGAATTATTTGAAAAAAAAACCCACTTATGGTTCATTCTATTCAAGAAAGGGAATAAGATATCGATCTTTGTACCTCAAACTCAACTGGGACTAATAATTATTTGAACAAAATGTATAAAAAATATGAAGTTGTTGTTATTGTTGTCTCAGCAAATCTGAAAATATATGATCTGAACTTCTAGTTATTTATGAGTTCAGATTGCTGCTTTTGCGACGATAAACTGGTATGAATTTGTCCGAAAAACACCAGTTTGCATATTAAAATTTCAAGACTTCTTTCAATCCCTCAAACCTCAAGCGATACATTGCCTACTACAAGACACTATTCAATGCTTCATGGAAAATTTTTGTACGAACTCAGATAGATGAACGATTTCCGCGATAAATCGAAGAGAAAATAATATAGATTGAAGCTCGAGAGCTTTCCATGGTTACAGCTAGTGAAGCTCTGAGTGACGTTGCTGAGTCCGAAGAGCAACCCCTAGCGCCTCAGTAAGTGCACTCAAATCCATATCAACCCTCATATTCAAGCCGTTTACCGAAATGTGAAGTCATCTATCTCATGCCACGGTGATGCAGAAAAATCGAGTCTCCGACGGAAAAAATTAAACCGGATATAACAATGCCAAAAATATTCTCTAAGCCCGAAACCCAACACAATATTTCTGACTACCAAGTCTAGAAGCGCCCCTCGTAATAACTCACTCCTCAGGCAAAAGATATTTCATAAGCCTCGAGGCAATGTTAGCGAATCAAGTTCTGCCCCAACAAGAACTGTCATCCGACATCGTTAGAATAATGGTGACTTTTATTAGCGAATCTCAATTGTCTCGCACCAGCTAGTGTAAGCTAAGGCGATTGAAAACCACACTTTCCCTCAAATACTCATTCCAGGTCACAAAAATCAAATCATCGAAATATACTCTCTATCAATATTAATATAGCTCGTGCCATATTTTATTTCAAAATTAAATTTTATTAAGTTAAAAAATAGAAGAAACTGCAAAAGCATATCTCACTGTGCAAATAGAGGGCAAAAAATAAGCAATGAAATTGAAAGAAAACCCTGTGCTTGTTGAAGAAGTTTGTCGAAACAATAATAAAAAGAATTTAAAAAGAAATGAAAATTTAATAATGTTAATGCAAGGAGGGATGAAAGGGTTGAATGGAGTTGCAAGCTGAGGAAAAGCAGCGTCGTCTAAGAAAAGCAGAAAAAAAAGTGGAAACTTAAAATTACAAACAAAACTACATTTAAGATCTGAAAACTATCAGCCACTTCGTATACAGTGCTACTTAAAACATAAGAGAAATAAGCGAAGCAAAAAAGAAGAAGAAAAATTTGCAGCAAAGCAAGTGCAGAAAGCATTTCACAACTCACTTCGAATGCAATGCCAGATAACTCAGTGATAAAGTTGGCAATGTGGGTGCTCATTTCTTTGGGTGTGTTAGTTTGCATTCTGTGTTGGAGAATAAAAACTAATGTGAAGATAATGCTACTACTGAGCTTTCCTGCAACCGTAAGCTGGTGCTTCTTGGTTATTGTTAGTGAGGGTTGGAGACGAAAATTGCACATCAGCAAATTCTACTAACTCGAACAACATTCTTTACATTTAAATGTATATCATATGTATGTATTTGTTGAGTTGTTAAGCTATTGTTTGTACAGATATTTAATACACTTTCTCACTACTATATCTGATGTTATTTTTGTTGCTTTATTATAACGTTAACGGACAAGCTCGCCTATTATGTTGTCTTACTTTAGTTTATTACTCAACCACATCTGTCTGCAGCGCGAAACCACAAACAAAATGCAAAATCTTGACACATGGAAAATATCCGCTTATACAAATGTTGCTCATACGCCATGGTGCGCTGAAACGGCAAATGACTGCTGAAAACTTTTATTGAAATCTACCACAAATAAAATTAAAAAAAAAAATAATATTAAATAAAATAGAATTAAATAAAATCGCTTAAAACATAAAAAAACCTAAAATAAAAAAAAAAATTAATAATTTAAAATAAAATAAAACAAAAATATATATGAAAAACTTTCAAATATAAGTAATATAAAATAAAATAACATAAAACAAAGTTAAATGAAATAACATTAAATAATTTTTAATAAAAAAATTCAAATATTTAAAATATAAATAAAAACTTAATAAAATAAAATCATATCAAATAAAATAAAATAAAATAAAATAAAAAAAAATAACATAAAATAAAATAAAATAAAATAAAATAAAATAAAATAAAATAAAATAAAATAAAATAAAATAAAATAAAATAAAATAACATAAAATAAAATAAAATAAAATAAAATAAAACAAAATAAAATAAAATAAAATAAACAAAACTAATATAACATAAATCAAATTAAAATAATAAAAAAAATAAAATAAAACAAATTAAACAAAATAAAAAAATTAAAAAAAAAAAAACTAGAAAGGAAAATTATATTAGGTCCAGTAAAAGGTTCGTTCTGTTTTTATTAAGAGATGGCGTTATTGCACTCACCGTAAAGTCCGAGCCTGGCACCAAGTAATTACCATCTTTTTCTGTCCATGGCGTACGCGCTTAAGGGTGAGAAGATGGCCCCAAGAGAGTCCTGCTAAAATTTGGATTTCCGAGTTTTTGGCCAATAGGGACGCAGCTTTCTACGAGAGGGGTATAATGGGGTTGGCTTAAGTCGGACAAATGTACACACAGTTATCAAATTTTGAAAAACAATAAAAAACCGAATGAACTTTTTACTTCAAATAATATAAACTATGATAAAATTAAAAAAGTTTTACAAAGTAAAATGAAAATTATGAAATGAAATAAAATAATAATTTTATTATGAAATAAATTTCAAAATTAGTCATTAGTCAAGTTGAAATATGCATTTTTAATTTAATTTATTGAATTAATTAAGAATTTTTTTTAGTTAGATGGAGTATTCACTTGAATGTTTTCACTATCGTACTGAGTATTTTAACTGGTCAATGGCTCACTTATTTACCTTGCTTTGAAAAGGTTTTAACTCATAATATGTGTATTTTGTTCGCCAAACACAAGAAGATATCCACATTTGTATGTAAATTTGTAGCATTGCTGTCTGCGAATTGGAGCACATGAATTTAACAGAAGATAAAATTGAATATAGCGCAATCTGAAAATGAAATTCGTTTATACAGAATTCGAGTTAAACTAAAAAATTCCATTTTTATTTTATGCATTTGGGAAAATTCATAGACATTTGCATTTGTTTATATATACACATGAAGAAATATATTTGTAAATATGCCAAAACTTTAGGAATTTCATTTGGTAGCATTTGAAAAGAAAACAGTAGAAAGCAGTTAGTGTAAAAAAAATAATATACAAAAATAGAACAAGTGGAGTTTTCATTTACAGGCTGGCAAAGAAGACAGAGTTTCTACACAAACAAATAAAAAAATTATCAGTTGCTTTTTGCAACTTTTCTTTTAAATATTTTTCATGTTTTGCATTTGTAACTCCATCTACTGTACGTTTGTGTTGCACTTGCTTCAATGCATGAATGCAATTTTATTTGTAAATTTATTCCATTTTCGCAGCAACTTAACTCAATACAACCTAACCCATTCTTTCTCGATGCGCTGAGCCCACAAATCCCAAGTAAATTCAGTACAATTCGTTGCACAGCGTCCAAATCGTCGCTGCAATAAGTTTGTTTGTACGTAAGAACATTTCTACACTTGTTTTCTCCCACATTTGTTTTGCACATTTCTAAGGCGGAATGGGATTCTAAAATGCATTTCCATGTTTGAGTACTTTCTTGCAATATAAAAAGGATTACATTTGTAACTACTCGAATATACTTATGTATATACTTACATCTGTACATCTGTAGCAGATAAATCACATCGCTACAGATACACAGACATACATTTGGGTTGAAGAATGCATCTAATGCATTTTTGTTTGCCTGCATTAGCACATATATATATATATATATATATATATATATATATATATATGAGTATATATTATTGGCGCTTCATAACCGCTGAAGCGATTTTCGGCCGAGCTCCTGCTCCAAATTGTGGTTTTGCGTCTTAATATTTTTCGAAAATATGAAGGGACCTAAAGTTTAAACTAAGCTGCCTCCGAAGGGCTGATAATATTTTTATAACCACCATTTATTTCACTGTAAAAATGCACTCGGAGGGGTTGACATTTCCGTAATAAGAGAATTTAACTTAATTTTTGATTTGAATTTGAACCCGAGCCTTTCGAATGGTTGTACGCAATGCTAACCACTTGGCTACCGCGGTCGCCGTCGAAAAAATGCCAGCCGAGTGAGAACATATATACACTCATATATACACAGAAATATATATTTAAGCTTCAATAGGCATTGAGCAGCAAATAAATAATTTCATATTTTCCATAAAAAATTCTTAAAAAAATCATGTATATCTGAATATTTTAACTGTATTAAATTTCATTTAAATTCATTTTCTATAATTTTGGATTAGAATACTAGATTCGAACCGGCAGCACATACGTGCAGTTCCACTAGAAATAGTCCAGCGGTATTAAGTCGCACGATCTTGGATCACGCCACAGCCCACACACAAGTTTCCTTTAATGAGTGGCTTATTTCGGTGGCTGAATAGCATGTACCGCTGCATGGTTGTAACCAAAGCTTATTCACATCAACGTCCATCAATTCAGGCACGATGAAATCATCAATTTCATAGAGTTCTTCATTGACTGTATCATGATGGCATTAAGGTTTTATTTTTCAATAAATAAAGAACAACAACTCCTACTGCTGACAGAGTATATCAAACAGTGACCTTTTGAGCATAATGCAGCGTCTCTGCAATGACTTGCGGACTATCATCAGTGCAAATGGGACAATTTTGTTTATTAACTTACCCATTTAACCAAAATTGAGTTTCATCGCTGAACAAAATTTTCTTGTGAGAATTGGGTTCAGTGGCCAGCTCATTTTGGGTCCATTCACCGAGCGTGCGATGTGCTGATGAATCTGAATTTTTGTATGAGCTGGATTTTGTAAGCCCACAGATGAAGAACCTTTAAAATATGCAATAAGGTTGATGGGCACAGTTCCAATTTTTGGGCGAGTTAACTGAGTGGAGCTAAGTTTGAAAAAAGTAAAAAGACTTAGTCGGTTTTATTGCTCCACTTCACTTTATCGATTCTTATAGAACATCTGTCTAAAAGGAATACTATTTATTATGTTAAAATTACTAAATGACTAACAATAGTATTTGTTGATTAGGAATCATTGCTCAATGCTAGGGAATTCATTAGAGTCGCTACAAAGCTACAAGTGGCGATGATTGATTATTTTTACTCGACACATTTCTATTTCCCTTTCTTTGTGCTTTAATTTTATTTTTGAGGATTGGCCTTTTTAATCTCTGAAGTTTAAACCCAAGCTGTGATTTTGGTGCTATTGGATTTGGACCTCCGTATGCCGGTGCTGTTGACATAACTCGCATGATGGCAGATGAACTCATTCGAGTTCTCTTCGATATGCTGCTGCACAGCCCCAATAGCGTCCTCGGTACACACAGCGTGGAGTCTTCGAAGATGCACATAATTCTCTAACTAACTGATCTATGGTTGCCGGTATAAGTGACTTTGGTGGGCGATTATGCCGACCGACGCAGCGGTCCATTGCTTTTGGTAATAAATTTAGCACGATTCGCTGAGGCTGCTGTGGTGTTAGAGGAAACCAAAGACGTTTAATAAATCACCTTTTATTTACAAGTATAATTTTTGAAAATCAACTAATCAAATTAAGTTTGATTTAAAATGCGTCGTCTGTTAAACAAATGCCGACAATTGTGCTTTAGACGTCATAATGAGTACAAAAAACTTGTCACTTCCTGACAGAGTAGACACAAAAATATTAAATATAGCACAACAACTCCTACCTTTGACAGAGTATAACAAACAGTGAATATTAGACAGCTTGGGAAGGAAAGAAGTTTTACCAGACAAGACGATTGGTATGAAGTCAGTGGTTACCATTTAAACAGTAAGTAACATTTAATATATTTCCACTTAATATTATTTAATTTTTTTTTACATTTTGTAATCGGATTTACAAGAGACAGACATCTCAATTACGGTTTTCTATTTGAAAATCGCTTCAGTCTAACGTGAAGTCCATCCAAACTTAAGAGGATAACTTAAGCACGGCTCAAAAATCATAGAGAGGAAATACAATTTATTTCATTAAATTTTAATCAGACGAAATTAAAACAAATCAAATTAAGAAAAAAAATTGGAAATCGAACATTTTAGAAACCCATTTTATTATTACCTTACTTTTATTTATTATTTTATTCGTTCGTTGTGTGTGTGCCCACATATCGTTTAAAAATTATATATGTCTTCTAATATATGTAATATATTTTATTTTATTTTTTTTTTGACTTTGATTACCGAAATAGACAAAGATAAATACACCATAATCCAATCAGAAATTACATGGAGTCTTAGAGAAATTGCTTAATGCGTTTTTATTGACAGCAACGCAATTTCTATAGCAAAAATGGCAGAAGCGAAAACTTTTATTTGCACATACATACAAACACACGTACATAGAAAAAAAACAAAAGCAAGGTGATTCGCACACATCTTTGACAGTAAACAACACGTTACCAAGGTTGCTCAGACGACGCTTATAACAACACATATACACATATATTATATATGCACGTAACTGTAGTGAGTATGTGTGGGCTTACATATAAATATAGCAGCAGACAATATAAATGGAAAATAATACTGGACAAAAGTCAAATAAACCGAATTGACTTTGGTGAAAATAATACGCACACATGCACATTACAAATATTACAAACTTGCTTACATACAGATGTGAGTTTGTTATCTACAATAGTTTTGTATGTGCCTTCAGTTGTTCATTTGTTGTTGTTTAAATTTGTTATTTTATATACTTTTGAATAGAATTTTTATTTTTCACTTCTTCTCTTGGCCTCGTTCTGCACTAAGCTGCATGGAAAGTGTATATATCTATATATGTATGTATGTATGTGCGTATTAAATATTCTATTAACTTACTGTTATTTATCAAACAGATATTGTATCTTTCACCTTTTTAAGCACTCAGCGCAATATAAAATTAAGGCAAAATTATATTTAATTTTTTTCTCAGAGCCCAAAGCAGATTACCTCAATGAAAGGCAGGCTCAGATAAGATTGCAAGAACCAACACTTACGATATCATTGAAAAGTATTAAAAAATAAAATTCGAAAATTGTTATCCTTTGGCTTTCAAATTAAAAATAAGAATATTATTTTACATTGTTGTTAATTTTTGATTACCCCTTATATTTATTTATATTTTTTTATAAATAATATCTGTATGCATATATTTATATCTACAAATAATGGTAAGGCAACGGAGCGCGAAGCTGCTGAATTAAAAAAATTTAAGTAACTATTAAATCTTTAAACGAATTTTAGTTGATTCACACACCAATGCTCATCGGCTTCAACAAACGCGCGTTTAGCTTATGACAAACATAACATTGAAGGCGGTCGCGGGAGCAGAGTTGTTTTCATTGCGTTCTGTCATTCAGAAGGCTCGGTCCCCCGTGGGACCAACATCCAAAATTTATAGAAAATTAGTTAAAATAACACAACAATAAGTTAAATTTTCAAATTTCTGTGGCCCCTCGGCAGGGAAAGTCAACCACTCCGAGTGTATTTCAGACATGGTATGCAGCTCCTCATCAAAATCCAAGAGCCGCTTGGAGACGGTTCTGTGTAATCTGTGTAAACTGTCCCACGAATTGTTGGAAAAACATCAAGACGCAAAACCACAAATTGAAGGAGAAGCGCAGTGGAAAATCGCTTCAGCGCTTACAAAGCGCCATTTATATTTTATGACATTAAAAGCGTAGGTGATTTCGTTTATTTAGATTTGAGATCTAACAGCAGAATCACCCTTGCCAGCAGGTGCTACTTGGGGATGGGTAGACAATTGTAAACTAAAATTTCCAACTGAAGAAGGAAAACCAAACTCTACAAGTCGCTCATCATACAATGCCAACATCCATTGCGTCAGCCTTAAGAGTCTTCGAGGGAAAACTTTGC